CAACAGAGTTAAACTGCATTCTTTTCAATTGCTAATGCTGCGTTGATTGACACCATAATTTCTCCTGTTCAAATTTCTTATACAAACCAACTAGCTTCCACAGTGAAGATAGCTGCAAATGCCTTAAACTTCACTATTATTGAAATCCTCAAGTAAGTCTGCATTTTATGTTGAAATGTGCAGTTTTATGATTAGGTTACCCTTCTAAACAGCTCATGGTATGTGTTGGCATGTGAGACATTGATGAGGATTTATTCTCAGTTTCTATCACTTTTTTTTCTCTTATGTCGTCGTTGAGGCATAGAGCTGTGTAGCATAGAAACAAACCCTTTGGTCCAACTCATCCATGCCAACCTAATGTCTTAAATTAATCTAGTTCTGTTTGCGATAGGGTTAGGGTTAGGCTTAGGGTTAGGGTTAGTGTGCTAACATTTAGCACATATCCCTTAAACTCTTCTTATTCATATACCCATCCAGATGCCTTTTAAATGTAATTTTACCAGCATCCACCACTTCCTCTGGAAGTTCATTCCATACACTCATCACCGTCTGCATGAAAAAGCTGTCCCTTAGATCCCTTTTAAATATTTTCCCTCTCACCTTAATCCTATGCCCTCTAGTCTTGGACGCCTGTACCCCTCGGAAAAAGACCTTGAATATTCACCTTGTCCATGTCCCTCATGATTTTATAATCCTCTATAAGGTCATCCCTCAGCCTAAGGTGCTCCAGAGAAAATGACCCTAACCTATTCAGCCTCTCTCTAAAGCTCAAACCCTCCAACCCTGCCAAAATACTTGTAAATCATTTCTGAACCCTTTCAAGTTTCACAACATCCTTCCTACAGCAAGGAGACCAGAATTAAATGCAGTATTCCAAAAGTGGCCTAACCAATGTCCTGTACAGCCGCAACATGACCTCCCGATTTCTATACTCAAGGTGTAACAAACACCTTTTTCGCTGCACTAAGTACCTGTGACTCCACTTTCAAGGAACTACGTACCTGCACTCCAAAATCCTTTTGTTCAGCAACACACCCCAGCACCTTACCATTAAGCGTATTTGACAGTCATCATGTTTGGGAAGCATAGGGTGCATGAATTTCAAATCCATGATGAGTTTTGTGAAAGACAAGCTCCAAAGTGGCTTTTATATTTATTTTATGCAATAGACAGACTTTTAAAAGTAGTTTTAAAAGCAAAAAATGACTTATGTTTGTGTAATTTACAAAGTAACAAAGAAGAATGTTAAGTAGGAAATGGTAAATTTGGCAGAAAGATAGTGCCACAAAGAGAAAGTCAATGAAAGGGATCTTAAACATATTGTTGATAGTGTGGATTGAAGATGAAAATTTCAGAGTGTAAAAATGTAATGGCAAACATTCAATTTTGGACAGTGGTGTTTATGTAGTGGGGGAAAATATGAAAATAGTAATCCAGAATTTTACAATTTGAGGATATTGATACGAAGGAAATTTACTCATTCAAATTTGAAATACAGCGTCATGGAAACATAGAAAATAGGAGCAGGAGTAAGCTGTTTGGCCCTTGATTAAAAAGATCAAGACTGATCATAAAACTCAGTACCCTGTTCATGCTTTCACCCCATACCCTTTGATCTCTTTAGACCTAAGACCAATATGTATCTCTCATTGAAAACATTCAATGTTTTGGCCTCAACTGTTTTCTGTGGCAGAAAATTCCACAGGCTCATCTCTCTCTAGGTAAAGAAATTTCTCCTCATCTCAGTCCTGAGTGGCATATTGTATCCTTAGACTGTTACCTCTTATACTTGACTCCCCAGTCACTGGAAACGTCCTTCCAGCATCTTAAAAATTTCTGGTACCATGACAGGAATCCTTACTTACAGGTGTGTCTTTTGACCACTTCTTAACCTGACCAATGACACCCTTTCTGACCTGTATTCCGCCTCTGATGGGATTTACCTGCTTGCCAGTGGACTGTCAAAGGCAGATGGTTTTCAGCTATTAGAAGATAGCCGCAATTTTCTATGAGCAACTCACGGACTAAATGTCAACATTGCCCAAACCATAAAGGGCATTTTGTGTCCCAAGCATCATTTTTGACAGATTATTTGTTAATATGACACCTGTTTAGAACCAAACTGAAAATTTTGACATCATAAATAAGACTGAAAATTTGGTTTCTAAATACTTCTTTATAGTGCTTTATCTGCTGCTTTACCTCAAATTACATCCATGGCAGTAGATACACTTACTGTCTGGTACAGCTAACACGATATGTTGGTGAGGGCACTAGAAAGCATGAAAAGAGCATCCACTAGGATTATGCAGAGTAGACAGATCACACCATTAGTCAGCATTAATTTAATGCTAGTAATACTATTTTGGAATTAAATGGCCCAGTCAACTGTACGGCAGTAATGGCTTTACAAAATAATTGATTCTAAAGCTTGACCAAATGACAATTGCGTCTTGGGAGTTTGAACATGGTTCAATAGGAAAACTATTGGTTACTGATTTTAAAAATGCCAGAAGAGTGACATTAAATTGAATGAGACCTGAGTGATCAGATGTTAATATCTTTTAGTAATATGTGTTCACAAATTTTAAGAATAAATGAGTTTTGGCCTCTTTGAATAAGACACAAACTTGTTTGGAAGAATACAAACATGCTCAAGTCCAGCCAAACATCAGTGGGCACAGAATCACTCCATGCACCTTTTTTCACCCATGCACCTGTTTTCACATCTGATGAAAAATTACTGAAGGAAGTTTAAAATAGATCAACAAAGAATTTGGCGTATAATTAGACATATTTGGCAGAAAATATATATTGATGGGACCACAAGATATTTCAATACAATAGCTTGTTCCTCTTGTGATGAAATCTTCTAGTTATAACCATTCCTTTTATACAGAGCAAGCTAGCATCCTTTGTGAAATGTAATATCAATGCACCCTCATTTTCAAGACTTTTTAGGTGGTAACAATTCAATTCAATAGGAGTGGGGCTTACTGCAAGATTTCCAATAGATCATTCAGGGCAATAACGGTTCACTGAACAGAGTTCAAGGCAAATAAATAAGGCTGAAGGTTAATAGGCATTGGCAGGAAAGAGATGTAGACTCCATCTTAGGAGTGCAGTGGTTAGCTGTACTGATGGTAAGGCAGCTAAACTACATGGATTCTATAATAGGGCATTTATTGAGGATTTAAGAACATTTGGTTAATTCTTTACTGTCAAATAAACTCAGGAAGACATTCAAGAGACCAGTCGGCAGCTAAGTATTGGGGTCAGGACTGAGAAAGTAGGAAGGTGTCTGGCTTTCGGGGAACTAGGGAAAAGCCAAGTGAGCCATAACCTTGCAAGCATTAATACTTTAAGTCAGCGGAGAGAATAGAAACTTTGAAAATGGGAGCAAGAATAGAATGTTCAGCCCTTCAAGTTTTCTCAGCCATTCATTATGATCGTGGATGATTATCTAACTCAGCTGGTTCCTGATTTTCCCCAATATCCTTTGATCCCATTAGCCCCAAGTGCTATATTGAACTTGACTGCTTTCAGTGGTAGTGAATTCCACAGGCTTACCACTCTCTGAATTAAAAAATTTCCTCTCATCTCAGTTGTAAATGGTTCACCCTGTATCCTTAGACTGCAAACCTTGGTTCTGCACCTCCCTGTGGCATCAACATCTTTCGTGCTCCTAGTGTGCCTAGTCCTGTAAGAATTTATAGGTTTCTATGAGATCTCCATTCATTCTTCTGAATAGCAAATATAATCTTAACTGATTCAACCTCTCCTCATACGTCAGTTCTGCCATCCCAGAAATCAGTTTGGTAAACATTTGCTGCACTCTCTCAATAGCAAGAACATTCTTCCTGAGATAAGGAGACCACACAGCACACAGTATTCCAAATGTTGACTCCTATACAATTGAGGGAAGGCTTCACTACTCCTGACAACAAAATCACTTGCAACATAGGCTAATGTTCTATTCGTCCTCCTGATACGTGGGTGGACATGGAGACATGTTATCCTTCAGTGATTTGTTAACAAGGACACATAAGTCCCTGTTGACATCTTCAATTTCCAACCTCTCGCTATTAGGAAAATACTTTGCACATCTGTTCTTCCTCCAAAAGTGGATAACCTCATGTTTTCCACGTTTGAAGGGTAAGAATTCTTTTTAAGTGGTTTGTGAGTGATCTTGTTCATTTTTACAGCTTTATGAGCATCTCAAAGCAGTCCCAATGTTACCATAGGCTCAAGGGTTCTGTACTTTTTAAACATTTGGGAGAATGGTTATGGGTTTAAGTGAAGGGCTTTGGAGGTGGGTGGATTGGCATAACTGGGTTGTGGAGACAGGGTGAGCATGGAGGCATAGCTGGGAAAGGGAGATGTGATGGGGCATGGAGGCAAGGAGGGGCATGAGACACAGCAAGCAGGGCAAGATAGATGGTAGGTGAGGCTTTAGGAGCCTTATAAGCAGCCACTGACCTGGGCTGATGTCTCAGTGACCTCTCTCCTCGAAGCCAGAAGCTCTGATTTTGAAACGTATCCCAAGACTTGATGGCAATGGAAGGTGCATTCATATTATGGCCAAGGGGGCTGATTATCAAATTGTAATTCCTTCCTGTATAGCTGTGACATGTGGTAAGAGCAGGAAAATTTCTTGGTCAGCAAGATTCACATGGTAACTACAGCACAACAGCCTCCTTGTGCTTAAAACAAAACTGTCCACAAAAGCTCCTGCTGCAGGCTGTACTTATAACAAAAATCTTCCTCATTCTGGGTGACTGGTGCAAAGAGATTTAAGCCATGCATAGAAATAGGAATAAAAATTGGGAAGGACAAATACGATTAGGAAAGGGAAAGGTACAGAAGGAACTACTTTTATACCTGTTCTGTAATTCTCTGACACTAATCAAGTTCAAAAGAGTCTTTCACTTGTAAAATAATTTTTTCAAGACCAGTTAGGCTGTTTATTTATTAGTAATTATCAATTATCACACAATTAAAAAAAAAAGATCCGAAATGTGTAAGTTCCCATTTTTATGGCTTCTTTAGTAGGAAACTAATGGGAATGGTAACTCAAATTCAACTGAAGATGCAACTCCATTGTGATTATTTCTGTGTTTATTGATGAGGATTGTTGCAGACCATCCTAAGGATGAGTTCAATGTCTCTCGTGGCTTGTGTGCAGACCGAAATTTGTTGTCGATTTTCTCTATATAAATTGATGAGCATTGATAACCTTAACATCATTCTCCATATCAATTCTGTGACAATGTATAATGCAACAGCAGCATCTGGAGGAGCGTCAGATGGGGAACAGGAGGCTACTCCTGGCCCAGAGACAAGGTGGCATCCAACGGCCCAGTGTGGCGATCTTGGCCCAGCATGGCAGTCTTCTTTGGAGGTTTTGCCCCAGTATTCCAGCAACCCGGCATGGCAGTCTCATCCCAGAATGGTGGTCTTGTCCCAGAACAACAGTCTCAGGGTATTCCATCATTCCTTGATTGACTTTCCCTGAGACCAGGAACCGTTAACTGTGATTAACTTTGTCTTAATTTTACTTTTGTTTTATTATGTATAACTTAATACAGGTGCTGTGGTGTAGTCACTAATAAAAATTTTCACTGTATTTTTCTTGTAAAAGTACACCTGATAGTAAACTTCTATTCTATTCTAACCAGCAATGTATGGTGAGGAAAGGCTATCTGTGAGCTGTGAATCTCAATAATTTCCTGATTAAGCTTCTCCATGAGTTTCATGAAATTGCTCCATTTGTACAATTTGAAGTGCTCCTTTTTCCAGCATTCTGTGGTAGCCTCTTTTTTAAAATTATTATCCATTTTTATATTTCATTTGAAATCAATCAGGAGAGCTGTAACGTTGGCTACTGTTTTACAGTCATCTATTTTAACTATCGTGCAAAGTCCAGATTAAAACCATGGACTTTAGGAGCTTACAGTATCAATGGAATCATTGCTGTTCTACACCTGGGATAATTTTTAAAATTTTTCTGATATTTGTAATGTTTTCTTTGAGCCCAGAAAATCAGCTGCAGAGATACCATGAGGGCAAAGACAGCAACTAAAAAGAAAAGAGAGGACATTATTGGCACATGTATATCTTGCCTGCATGAAAATATCACTCAATCAATGCACGACATACAAATATCTACTTTTGTGTTTTACCTGGAAGGGTTTGGGTCATAATGGTGAAGCTAATCCAGGTTCCCATCTGCACAAATAAGATGAAATGAATTAACGTAAATCCTAAAGTTGATCTACAGCCACCAATACATCTCAAACTTTTCCTTGGATAACAGCATACAATGTTCCCTGCACAAAGAATACGGTATTCAGTGATGCATTACACCATACTCCTGCCTCTAAGGCATTTGCCTGCTAATATTTTGGGAAATTTGTCGTTGACTTTATGTTTTTCATGTTTGTTCACCTTAAATAGTGAAACTGAGATTGCTTTTCAATACTTAGAAACTAGTATTCAAAACTGAGTGGGAATGAGATTGTGACTTTAGGGCAATAGGAGTCTTCTGGGACCTATGATTCTGCCTCTTTCACTTTTTGCTTCTTTAGTTTAATTTTGAATGATAATTAAGAATATTTCTATAAGTACATTTAACCTCTCTAATACTGTGAAGGTGTATGGATTTGACAGAATTTTTTTTTTATACTAGGATGTAGCTGCCAGCTAAGTGACTGATACAGTGACATGACAAAATCTTTCATTACCTCATATGTGTAATTAGGACAGGAGACCAGTTTGTAAAGCCATGTGAAGGGATTATATGTGGGCCTTACAAAATGAGTCCTTGTGCCTGAAAGAAAAGAAAATACATTTGTTATGTCACATAACACTAATTGGCTTGTGTATTTAAAGAATGCATTGACAATTTGAAAGCACTTCACAGCCAAATGCATCCAGATTTTTGACTTGGCCACCATTGGATTCTAACAACATGGCAGGCATTATGTCTACTGTAAGACCTCACAAACAGCCATGAAATACAGACCAGATAAAGGCCAAGATATTCTGAGAAGTTTCAGTCACAGTCAGATTGCCACTCTGCTCCTAATGTTTTCCTCTTAGGATTGAACTGCTCAGCTCCAGCTAGCAATTCCATTCCCAGCTCCTTCAGAAATGTGGAGCCTAGTTGAAATCAAATGGTACCCTCATATATCAGTACAGTCAGGGGAAGTCAACCATGTTGCCTTATTGCAGCAGTCTATGCTTCCTGTTTTGAGATTTAAATGCCCAGCAGCACAGCTGTCACACAGTTCCTGTGAAATAGTTAACATATTTGGTAAAAATGGGGTTGGAATGGCATTGGCTATAGAATGCGTGCCGAGGTTCAAAGTGGCAAATGTGCAGTGTAAGTGATGTTGTATTTAGGGTGGATCAGGTCTGAGGAAGGAGGAGTGACAAGTAGCTGGTGGATTTATCCATCCAGCAGGGATGAGATGTCTGTCAGCAATGGGGGAGGATGTGGGTGGGTCCAATGTGAGTTGCAGGGGAAGGGGAAGTGTGTGGTTTGCCTGGGCTAGCATCAGGCATGGGATTGTCATCGGTGGGGCAGAGGGATGTTGGGGCCAGCAATTGGGGAATGTCTTCAAGGCTTGGGGTGGGGTGGGCGCATTGTGTGTGTGGTTAGTGTAAGATCTCTGAGGTTCATGTTGGCAGTGGAGGTGGAGTGGAGAATGGGTTTCAGCTCCTGGGAGTTCAGGGGTGTGGTGATGGACTGGCTGTGAGGTCCTAGGGGCAGGTGGAAGTGTGTTGTGTTGTGCAGGTCTGGTTAGAGTTGGGGGGTTTTTCAAGGCTCCAGTTGGCATTGGGGAATGCATTGTTTGGAGGGGATTGTGGGGGTCTGGTGAGCTGGACATTCAATTCATAGCTATCCAGGATTTTTCATCATCAACCTTTTCCTGGATAACTTAAGCAGATCCCTCCAAGTTCTTCATCCTTTTTTGGATTCATTTGGAGGGTTCCAGATACAGCTGAACTGCCCATAAGAAAATTTCATTTCTCATGGAATTCTGACAGAGTCGACTGTTTTTGGGATCCTGCATGGTTCACACGCACAAATCCAGCCTGCACTGTTCCAACAGGCCAAACTGCTTTAATTATATTGGTTGAGGAAATTGTTTAGGACTTCTACAGGACTGCTGTTCTTCAAAATAATATTGTAATAAGAAGGGAGATGGGGCCTCAATTTAATGCATTGGCAGCGCAGCGCTCTCTCTACACTGAAGTGTCAGCCTGCATTATGTGCTCAAACCTTTGAAGCGAGGTTTCAACCTACAACCTTTGGACCCAGTGGTCAGAGGTGATAGAATTGTCACTGAACGAGGATTGGCAAGTATACATACGTTATCTTAAAAGTGAAGATCATTTGTAAATCTCTCAATTCCAATCAGAGAAAGTTTCAGATTTTGCTAAATGAATGAAAAGACAAAATTCATTGTAATGTTAAATGAATAGAAGCTAGTACATTATGACTAGGCTGGCAGTAAATGACAGTTAAATGAAAATTGCACTAACCTGTTTTATGCACCTGAACTAAGGCAACATTTGTAAAATAATTTCCAGCTCCACAGACCTAAAGGGAAGGGTACAGTTGTTATTTGGTTTGAATAACTGATCAGTTAGTGACTTACACTATGGAAAATTAAGTAGAATTAAACATTTTATAGATACAGAATGTATAATTAGGTTGTGCAATGAATTGAGAATTCATATTGGCCAGGGCTGAGAGTTGATAAATAGCCTTGCTTGGTGTTTCTGGGATAACTTTTCTATGAGTTATGGTCTGTTTCAAAGGCAGAGATATTTATCGTTCATTATCGTTGGCATTGGCCATAGCTTTTTCTTTAAAACGAATAATAGGTTTAAGTAACTGTCCAAGCTGAGACTTCATGCATTCTGCATCATGACAAAATAAGCTTTGTTTGAAACAAGTTAATGATCGAAGATGTTATTTTTGACTCACCCACTTAGTGATGATACATGTCTCCTGGACCATATGCTGAGAGAATGTTCATTTGTTCTTCAATTTGCCATACATTTCAAAGCCACACAAATGAACCATTTGGTGCCACAGATCATAATTTGGCTTAAAACTAACTATTCAATTTTTAATGCAAGAACAAAATAACTCTGAGTTATTACAGCAACAGAGAAATAATTCTCACCACATTTAGTTCTCCACTGAAGTAATCTTACAGAATTCATTTACAAAGATTTGCAATATTTACATGGCTGGCAGGAAGACTAAAAGAAACATTATCTAAATGATGAGAAATTGCACAGCGCTGAGATGCAGATGGATCTGGATGTCCACGTGCATTAATTGCAAAAGATATTATGTAAGTATAGTAAGTAATTGGGAGAGCTAATAGGATGTTATAATTTATTGTGAGGGGAATTGATTACATATATTGGGAGGTTATGCTTTAGTTATATTTGACTGTTGCATAGACTATCGTTCTTATTTGAGGAAGGGTACAAAAGGTGTTAGAATCAATTTGGTAGATTATCTGGAATGGACAATTATCTTATGAGGAAAGGTTTGATGAGAAAGGTTTGTATCCACTGTAGATTAGAAGAGTAAGACACAACTTGATTGAAACATAAGTTCATGAGGGGCCTTGATAGGGTGACATGAAATGGATATTATTTTTAGTGGGAGAGCTTAGATGTAGGGTCACTCTTTAAAAATAAGGGTAAGGAGATTTTCTTTTCTCACAGAGTTGTGGGGCGGTCTACTTCAAATGGTAGTGGAAGATAGATTATTGAGCTAACAGGAAATGGAAGTTTATCAAGTTTAAATGCAAATGTGGAATAATCAGATCAGCCAAACAAATAAGATAATAAAAACCGAAAGAACTGCAGATGCTGTAAATCAGGGACAAAAACAAAGTTGCTGGAAAAGATCAGCAGGTCTGGCAGCATCTGTGAAGGAAAAAACAGAGCTAACGATTCGGGTCTGGGTTCTGAGGAAGGGTCACCGGACCCGAAACATTAACTCTGTTTTTTCTTTCACCAATAAGATAATAGCTCATGGCTCACAGCAAAGGCATATTCTAGTGAGGAAGATGGACTTTAGCAAGAGGATAAGTTGGCTATGGTTAAGGATTGCATCAGATTGACAGAAAAAAAAATACAATGTGGCAAAGATTAGTGGTAAACCAGATTATTGGGAAAGATTTAAAAATCTACAATAGACAATCAAAAAAGAAAACAAATTTTGACTATAAACGTGCAAGTAATACCAAGATAGACTGCAAGAGCTTCTTTAAGTTGGTAAAAAGAAAGAGAAAGGTCTAAATGATCATAAGTCCTTTGAAAAAGAGGCTGGGCGAATAATAATGAGTAAATAGGAATTTGGCTGTGGAGTTGAATAAATACTTTGCATTAGTCTTCATGGTAGTAGATGCTAATAGAATACCCAAAATCACTAAATATTCAGAAGGAGGTGAGGAAACAAGTACTATAACTTTCACTACAGGAAAAGTGAGAGGGAAATTAATGGGGCTAAAGACCGATAAATCCCCTAAGCCTGATGGGCTGCATAAATAGGTAGAAAAAGAAGTAGCTTCAGAGATATTGAATGGACTGGTAGTATCTTTCAGGAGTACTTAGATTCTGGAAAAAGGCCCAGAGGACTGGAAAACTGCCAATGCAGTACCTTTACTAAAAAGGGAAGGAGACAAAAGAAAGCGACAGATAACTACAGGCCAGTTAGCTTATGGGAAAATGTTAAGAGTCTATTGTAAAGGATGTAATAGAAGAGCATTTAGAAACATAGAATACGATGAAGCAGAGTCAGTGTGGCTTCATGGAGGGGAAAGCATGCCTGACAAATTTACTGGAGTTTTTGAGGCAGTTACAAGCAGTGGATGTAATATATTTGGATTTTCAGAAGGTGCTTGATAAGATACACACATTAGAATACTTAAAAAGACAAGATTATTTACCACAATTATTTATCTTATATATTAATGCCTTGGGTGAGGAAATTGAATGTACTATAGACAAATTTGCAGATGGCACAATAATAGGTGGGAAGGCAAGTGGTGAGAATGACACCAAGAGTCTACAGAAGGATATAGACAGGTTAAGTGAATAGACAAAATCTTGGCAGATGGAGTATAATGAAGGGAAATGTAAGATTATTCACTTTAGGAAGAAGAATAGAGGAGCTAAATATTATTAACATGGAGAAAGACTACAGAAAGCCACAGAACAAAGATCCATGAATCACAAAATTCTAGCATCCAGGTTCAGTAGGTAATAAGGAAAGCCAATGGAATTTTAGCATATATTTCAAAGGAAATGCAATGTAAGATGAGGGAAGTCTTGCTAAAACTATACAAGGTACTAACAGGCTACGGCTTGAATACTGTGAACAGTTCTGGGCCCCCTATATAAAGAAACTGGCATTGGAGGTAGTCCAGAGAAGATTCACCAGAATGACATGAAATATGGGAGGACTATCTTATGAGAAGGGCTTGAGTCAATTTGGTCTGTATTCATTGAATATAGCAGAATGTAGACGATACCTTACTTAACTATAAAAGCTTCTTTGGGAATTTGACAGGATGAATGCTAAAAGATTGTTTTCCCTCTATGATAGTCTAGAACCAGCGTGTGTAACTCAGAATAAGGGAGCTGCGTATCTAGGACGTTTAGAGATGAGGCAGAATTTCTTCTCCCAGCCAGTAATGCATCTGTGGAATTCTTTACCACAGAGTACTGTTGAGCCTGAATCATTGCAAATATTCAAAGCTGCAATAGGCAGATTTTTAATCAGTAACGGAATCAAGAGTTAAGAGAAAAAGGCAGGAGAGTGGGTTCAGGGATTATCAGATTGGCTATGATCTCATTGAATGGCTGGCTTCGATGGGCTGAATGGCTTACTTCCATCTTACGTCTTTTACGGTTATCTTGTTGAACGGATCAGGTGACTCGAGTGGCCTATTCCTGCTCCTAATCTGTATGTTTGCACGGTCAGTATTTTTCAGGAAACTAGGAATAAAATCCAATCCAATCTACAAATGTTATTTTCTTCTTTTCAGCAAAACAGTTTTCCAGTTCAAGGAAACAGCAAACCTTTTACCAAGGCATTCAGTTATTCCACATACATTGTGTTATTAATTGTTTATTATGTGTCAGGCAGGTCTTTCATTATCTATTTTTATTCATGTTACTGATTGAGCAACAATTTTAAATTTAAAAAGAGTTTGATTCTTTTTTCTTCTGTCATTTGGAAGTTTTGTTTTATTTTGAACATAAAGGCAAGGTGTATTTTGTGGCTTAAAAAATGTTTTTATGACCTGCCCAGTAGAAAGACTCTTACATTAATATTCTGTGAAGGGCATGTACACCATGGCTTGATGACCTGCCCAATGCAGACAATTTCACAGCAATAGCCACTTTGGAAGGGTTGGCTTCCTCTTTCATTCACTCTCTCCTGCAATATTAGAGATTCTACTCAAGTAGTAACTTGTCAGAAACTGGATGAGTCATCATCAGAGTAAAAATGTCAGCTTTCCTCCAGAATGGCTGAATTGGAACTTCATTGCAAATGGGCTCCAGATCCCAGGAACCCATTACAGTCGTGAATAAAATATCTTCAAACCTGTAAGTGGAAATGAGCAGCTTTCAAAATGCTTTTTAAATTAGATTGAGACCTGGTTGATTTTATTTTAATTGAGAGCAAAATTTATCACGTAAACTAAGTTTCAATGCACCTCTTTGTTTAAAATTCAGGTCAAAAGCTTTCCATCTCAAAGATGTTTTATTAAAATTAATTATTTTCAGAGTATTATCTATGGAATGAATTGAAATTGGGATGTAGGATCTTGGCAATGAATTTGTGACTGCACTTGTATGCAAGCCTTTATTCAGTATTTTAATAAAGCTATTAACCACTCAAGTCTGACTTAAAATACCAAACAAATGAAGTTTAGTTTACTAAATGGATGCAATTATAAGTCACAGCAATTGAAATGCAAAATTCTTCTCACTCTTTCTGAATTATACTTTCCCCTTCCCTTTACCGCTCCTTGTACCATGTCTCATTCCTCAGTTCCGAGGGGTAACATGATATTGTTGTAATGTCACTCAGTGGGAAATGCACAAGTATAGCCAAGAGAGATTAGCATATCAGAACTTTTATGATTCCATTTCATCTCTGATTGGCAGCTCCCTGAACTCAGCACCTATGCATGGCAAGTTCAATTATTAAAGTAACCAGGGCACATTTTCATTAACTATAATAGCGTGTCAATTGCAGCAAAGTGACTTTCAAACTTATTTCACCCCTATTCAATGATATGTGAATTTTGTGCACTTCAAGCTGAAAAATATTTTCGCTGGGCAAATGAAAAACATTGAACCATACTTGGGATCAAACACACCCAGATCAGACGGAGTATAGTTATGTTTTTTCCTTTGATGAAGATTGTGTTCTCATTCATCGTTTATAATTAGGGTCTAAACTGCTTCTGTCTTAATATTATGAAGTAAGATAATGAAAATATGCTTTTAAAAGTGTTTTATTATTAAAGAAATGGATAACCTGTTCTACTCACACAC